TACCGACATTCATGGCCAGGTTCACCCGGAGGTCCACATCTTCAGCCCAGGCTGACTGCACTGCGTCCTTGCACAGCACAGGGAAGATGCCACGGTACAGGTGGGCCTGACGGGCAGTCTGGGGGTTCCGAGTCACAGCAATGATGGGGGCCCGGGGGCGGTACCTGGCTACCTGGTGAGCAGACCTAGAATTGGGCAGGAGAAAGTGAGCATCAGGCAACGAATGTCCCAGGACCCTCCTGGGAAGCAGCGCTTTGCAGTCCAACAGCTGTGCTCCAGCAACAGCTCAACCTGGAACCTGCTTCAGGCCATGCTGGCTCCACAGTTCTTCCATTTAAATACCTACTTCCTAGGACAGCCTCTCCTAGGACAGCCCACAGAACTGAACTCCACTTCATAGTCTAGTTGCTCACTTTCCTTCTAATCCTCCCTAAAAAGGCCATGGCCCCAGGATCATCCTTGCCCTGCATGATCAGTTGCACTCATCCCGCAGTTGGCTCAAAGTGCCCCCGCCTTGAACTTTTCCACTCTGTCACAGGGAAGCTGCCCTGGCCCAACCTGTCCAGCACCAACCTCTTGCTGCCAACAACAACTACCAGCCAAGCAGCATGTGACACTAGACATCTGCAAAGAATACAAGCAGAAATGACTGGCTCCCTGGAAATCAACAGTGAATACCTTTCCTATTGCCACACCCTCTACCCCCAAATACTTGAGTGGTCCCAGAAACCAAGCTCTAGTAGCATAGAGTATTTAAATGAGACCTAGAAATCTGGGTGCTATCTAGAATGTAAGGAAGTAGAAAAATTTGGTGTGGAAGCTCTGGCCCACCAAGACTCCAAATGCCAGGTGCAAAAGATATTGCAGATGTGTGCCCTGGCCACTCAGGAGTTGGGAAAGGGCTTGCAGAAAGAACTGGGCCAGGCTATGAAGACACTCAACAGATGTCAGGGAAACTTAAGCTGTTTCACATCAGAGACTGCCCTGCTTAAGGCCTGGCCTTCACAGGGGAGCAGGTGCTGAAGCCAGGACCAGCTCAGAGTGAAATGCCAGAAGACTGGAGATAAAAATAGTCAAATGGCAAAGGTTGGACCTTTTTACAAAGGTCATCTTGATGGTGGAAGGATCTATCCAAGAGTGGGAGGTTGAGCCCTTCTGTTAAGGACATCTGCTGAAGGCCTACCTGGTGCACCTCAGTGCAGTGACTGCCTGCCCACATTGTTGTTGTTAGGGGCCGTAGAGTCGAGCACTACTCAGCAACCCTCTCCTCACACTTCCTGACACACAATGTTGACACTCCTCCCTGGAACTTCCAACCACTCTGTGGGGAGAGGAGGGACTCACTGTGAGCCTCCGGGAGTGAAAGAAGCTAATGCTGTTTCAGCCTAGGGAGGCTCCCAGATCTGTGGCTGGGCTCCATGCCAAACACCGGGCAGTCCTCGGAATGCGAGTCAGCAACACTAAGTAACCTCTGCTAGAAGGGAACCCCATTTGTCCTTTGAGGTTCAAATGGGGACTGGCACATGATAATCAAGCAAGGCACAGAAATCAAGTGAGTAGTATTAATTTCCCAAGCCTCTCTCTCTCATTGCTGTCAAGCTGGAACCCACTCATAGCTGAGGTTCCCGCAGGTTTTTAGAGGCTGTAAATCACATGGGAAGAGTTTGCTCAGCTTTTGTTTCAAGGAGCAGCTGGTGAATACAAATCTCTGGGTTGGCTGTGCCCACTGGGCCACACATTGTAATGTTCAAACACACTGTAACTGGAATAAAACTGGTTGATTTCCATCATAAAGGACCGATTCTCAAACATAAAAGACCCATCAGCTGTTATTCAATGAGGCTCTAGCTCTATATGAAGCTGTAAATCAGCACTGGATCACAAGAGCTAATAATCATGTCTTATGGTTGGTGCTGATGAATTCTTTGGGTCCTGGTGGTGGTGGTGGTGGTGGTGGGGGGGTCGTCCAGATGGCAGGCAGAGGGCTCTTACCTTGGCTCAACACCACCTTAGCAATGTTCAAAGGCACCTCAAAGAAAGGTGCCGATGAACAGGGGATCCCCAGGACGCTGCCACCGCCTCCTACCTGCCAGACTTGGTGAGGATGATTATGGCCCCACTGCAGCACTTGAATGACGCCTCCACGGCGCCCACGGCGGCGGCTTCTGTGGGGTCGCTGGTAAAGGGCGCCAGACGGCGGAGCTCCTCAAACAATTGCAAGTGGTAGATGGCAGCCTCTGCCTCACGGGCAATC